ATCACTATATCTAATATAGGGAATATAAGTTGGAAACCAGCTGCCTCATAAAGATTAGACTTGAGGAATATTGAAAAGCCTTAATCCCAAGTTGCATAATGAAATCGTGCATAGCAGATCACATATAAAGTGAACCAGAATGCTTGAAGTGTGGTAAACAATAAAAAGTTAATTAATAAAAGTCAATTAATAGACACATTTTGCTGCTGGCATTGTAATTTTTCTCTTCTTAATTCGAAGAAAATTTTCTGTTCCATTAGAAATATCTAACTCCATGAGAAATAGCTTAGGAAATATTTGCATGTTCCTTTGTGCTAAGATCAATCTATATTTATTCATTTCTAGATAGTTTAAATTATTAACAATATTTGATTTTTTATAATTCACTAAACCAAATAATTTGTTGAAATGTGCATTCTTTAAAATTCGGTTATTAAAAATTCTTTTTCTCGAGATTGTATTTGGGAGCATAAAATATAACAAATAAACATGTCAATCAAAGAAATAGTATCTGATTTATAGCTGTTCGTATTAACAAAAACTAAACATTTTTTATCTTTCAATCTATATAATAATAATAATAATAATAATAATAATAATAGGCAAATAACATCTACATTCATAGTCATTTATGATAGAATCTAACGTTTTAGCTGGTAAGCGACATCAGTTTTTCAATTAAATTTAAAATTTTTTTATTCTTTAGATGAAAAAATGCATATGCTACTTCACCTTTAAATTCGTTGTACATTTAATTCCTGGGGGTTATAGTAACAAAAACCTCCTGAACAATTTAGATTATCATAATTTTTGCTGGCTACCGTTTTGTTTACAAGGATCAATATTGTAATCTGCGATATCTAGCGCTTGCTTGATAATCTTTCAATATGACCTGTCTATTGCTATTTAATTATTGTTAATGGTTTCTACGATGTTTCTGACACCTGTTTATTGTTCTGTGATTTTTCCAGCTGATGTTTAACATAAACATCATAAGACGACTAATCAGAATGTTTGCTTTTTTACGTTGGATAGTAAAAAATATTACAACTCGCAAAATGATGTTTTTCTGAGGAAAATGGTTAAAAAAAACTTAATTGAATGATAACTCATATTGTAAACTATTTAACACTTTGAACTCTTTAAAATGAAGGTGTTTGATAACTTGGGGATCGACCTGTTTCTGTCGATTTCTTGGCCCATACCTTATATGAGAATCTGGTTTAAATGTAGTAAGGATCTTCTCTATGTTTACATTACCAGTCTCTGTTTTGTGGCATTCTAATGCAAGAATTTTTTTCTTCCTTGTTTGTTCTTATCGTGATACCGCTAAGAAATTCGGCATCTAAGTCCTGATTACACAAACGCCGGGAGCGAATTTAACTATCAACATGTTCACTAAAACGTACCAAGTGATAAGATATTAACAAGGTATATGGGTTGACTGAATGAAATGAAGGAAGACGAAAATTCTGCTTGTAACAAGAAAGACAATATAATAGAAACTAATGACATGTGATAATGTATCAGTCATGGAATAAATTTCCTTTCTTTTTCTGAGAAGGTTTAATTGCATTTAAACATTAAACATTTTTATTTTCTAATTTACTTTCATAACAGAAACGGACTGTTCAAAGACGTTGATAGGAATGGTTGTAATATAAATAAAAATCATTTGAAAATAATAATTATTCTAAATAATTATTTCTAAAATGTTTTAATAGTAACTTAAAAAGTGAAAGAAAATAGATATGGTATTTATCTGAAAATAATATGATTTTAGTTTCAGAAGGATCTCAGAAACGACCGACATGGCGAAAAGAGATTAGTCTACGGGCCGAGTCTCTTGAATGTGTAGGTCCTTATATAAGCCATGGAAGGCGGTTATAATTGTGATATATTAGTACGAAATCTAAAATACAACAACTAAAAACAAAAATGGCGTAAGTGTGTCTATAGACGAAGGCAAGGAATATGTTTCGAAAACAGGCAGCGTACTATGTTAGATAGCCTTCAAAACAATAAAAGATTACCAGTTAACAATTATTTTTAAATCTACAAATGAAATTTAATCTGATTGTAAGGTATCAATAATCTTTCTTATCAGCTGACAGCAAATGGCATTTAATTTGATTAAAGATTTAAAATAGATTGATATTTTAAAGAACTAAAGTGTTTCATGTAATGGTATTAATGTTCTAAAAGGAGAAAACAAAAATCAGTGTCTAATATGGCTGTTGGTGTGCAACAAGAAACATCATTAATAAAAACAGACGTACATACATATATCATTTACATACTGCATCTGAACATTTATATTTTGAAACAATCTCCCGCCTGTCGCGTATTCAAATTTAATACATTAATGGCGAAATAGTATAGAGATATCGAAAAATTTAAGAAGAAGAATTTTCACAGCATTGCCAAAGAAATCTGAGGCGATCAAATTTGAGCTTCATCGAACAATCAGATTGATGTGCCGCATAACAAAACTACTAATTAGGATTGTAATGAATAGAGTTCGGATCAGACGAGTAATAACATAAGAACAATGTAGTTTTGTAGATGAAATAAAAACTGCTGCAATCATGTGAACAATGTTATTTTAACGAGCGGAAGAAATAATGAAAGACCCAATTATTTCTTTTAACCAACTCACCCTCAGCGAGGCGATAATGTCACTAAGACGCAAGAGGGCTACTGGCTCTGAAAGAGAATGAAAATACTTTAGAAAGAACTGGAAACCCAATCCTAAACAGGAAACAGAAGACCAGTTTTAGTAGCAAAGGGTGCGTCTACAATAAGGTAACCTGACGGAGTCCATCCATCCTCAGAATACACTATTTACATTATTCGGACTATTGTCCTCATCTTTGTCGCCATATTTATTATTTCGGCTGTTGTACGCTCTGGCCTTCTTCAGGTTGGAATGTCGAACTGGACCCTTTATTTCAATGGGGGTAGACTGTTTTAATTCCATGTGCCATGTTTAATGGATGTCAGTTATCAGTTATCTATTACCCTCTCTAAGTTCTCACGCTCTTTGGATCCTGTCACTGGATCTAACTAACACCTTTATCCACTTTGCCATTTGTCCTTGTGGACATCTGGGTATGAATTTCTGGGTATTATAAACCTAATGTCTTCAGTAACCATTTTTACCAATGCTCATATTGCAATTTTTTTGCTGTTATCATTACATGTTTTTACCAGAGCTCATATTGCAACTTTTGTTGTTATCGCTTTTCTTTGGCACTTCTTATTACTGATTCCCATATTGTATTTATTTCTATGCTTGGTCGGTACAGGGGATTTTTGTGGCCTAGCATATGTGCTGATTCCTTAAATTTACGAATTTTCCAATGGTGTTCTTTGTCTATGATCTCAACCCGATCCCACAGAGGGCGGTGATTTCCCTTTTCTCTCCATATGTGGTCAGCTACGCCTGATTTTTCTACTTCCCCTCGTGTTACAGCTTTCTGGTGTTCTTGAAGCCTTACCTTAAGGGGGCGGCCTGTATCCCCTTTATATTTCTTTCCGCAGCTGCACGGGATAGCGTACACACAGTCTTTAGTCATGTCCTTCTCTATGGGGGGGGTCTTCCTCGGGAGAGATATCTTCGTCCAGCTTTTGTCGGTTGTCCTGATGTTATATGGACCACATGCAATATGAGCGCTGGTAAAAACATGAAATTATAACAGCAAAAATTGCAATATGTGCACTGGTAAAAAATGGTTGCTGAAGACATTAGGTTTATAATACCCAGAAATTCATACGCAGATGTCCTCAAGGACACATGGCACAGTGAATAAAGGCGTTAGTTAGAGCCAGTGACAGGACCCAAAGAGTGTGAGTTCAATACCTGGTTAAGAGGGGAATTAACAGGTGATAACTGATAACTGACATCCATTAGACATGGCACATGGAACTAGAACAGTCTACCCCAGTGAGTGTGGTTCTACATTTCAACCACCTGAAGAAGACTGGAGCGTCCAATAAATATGGCGACAAAGATGACGATAATATTACCTCATCTCATAAATATAGACAGTTCCTCAGACTAGTTTTCTATTCAAAGTTTTTGATTAGGGTCCAATATTCAAATTAAATTGTCATCACTGTCTTCAAATTAATCTTATAAGTCCAATATTTTAGATTATTTTACAGTTTTTCTTGTGTTTGATGCCATTGTTATTGATAGAAAACTGTATTTTACATAGATTTCCAATGTATATTTAAATAATAGGCAACGGTTAAAAGTGTGCATTTGAGGAAAGCATTGTGTATATCGTAAAAAGTATTGGTGAATGCTATTCTGTGCTGAAGTGTTTTGTTTTAAAAAGACCAACAATATTGCATTCAGAGTTTGTCTATATTTCTGAGATGAGGTATTATGTACAGTATTTACATTAGTCGGACTAATGGACACATGGCACAGTGGATAAAGGCGTTGGTTAGATCCAGTGACAGACCCAAAGAAGGTGAGTTCAATTCCTGGTTAAGGCAGTGGAGAACTTTCAGAGGGAAAATTAGCAGGAGATAACTGATAACTGACATCCATCAAACATGGCACGTGGAATTAGAACAGTCTACCCCAGTGATCGAAATAAAGGGTTCAGTTCGAAATTCCAACCACCTGAAGAAGGCCGGAGCGTACAACGGCCGAAACGTTGTGACAAATATGGCGACAAAGATGAGGACAATAGTCCGACTAATGTAAATACTGTACAATATTGCATTCATTATTCGGTTATGCATTTTTTCTTTATCCAAAATTTGATTATTCTTTTGTATTCAATGTGTTTTTTATTTAATGGAGAAAGCTCACCGAGACACCACTATATAAACAAAATAAATCGCATTTTACATCTTTTAATATTCGCTTTTATTATTGGAAAGTGTTCCTAAATAAATAAAATTGGTTATTTTTCACTTAATTCATATTTTTACTTTCAGTTTCTATATCTGCATTTGCCGAGGATTCCTTTTACTTTAGCACCATGCCACAAAGTCGAAATGTAGTTGAAGGATCCGACATAACCGTTAACTGTGATGTATCTGACCGGCAGCACATAGTATTTCAGTGGATGTTTAGAGGCAAAATTGTGGTCAATACAAGTCGACGTTTTCAAGATAACAGTAACCTAAGGATTTTACGCGTGAATCGAGATGATGATGATGGTCCCTTCACGTGTATTGCTACGAATATAACTACTGGCTTCTCTCTACAAAGCTCAAATGCCAAACTCAATATACAGTGTAAGTACTATTCCTTTGTTATCGGTAATTCGTATTTATTTCTATTTAAGCTATCAAAATATTCCGATGAAAAATATTTTCGTCTAAATATGAAAGCTAAGGTTGCATTAACCAACGACAGGATGTTACTTCAGAAAATACAAATAAAAATAAAACAATAAAAGAGAAAAGGATAAAACTCCTTTTTTTGAGGTAAAGTTATTCCTAATATCTAATTGTTGGATATACCTATTTGGAATTCAGGGTAAAATTTTAAGTTTCGTGATCTTTAACCTTTATCAGTCTGTATGCGATTTCATTTGTTGTGCAAAAAGTGCATCCTACTACTGAATTTGCATTTGTTTGAATTTCATAGTTGTGGTTGTCATATCCTGCTATGGCAACAGAAAACACCTTTAAATGAAATTAACAATACGGTTAACGCAAAAAAAAAAAAAAAAATGAAAACGAATGCATTGGAAAAAAATGAAATATTAATAATGCAGTGTGCTAAAGATTAAAGAAATTGTTCACTATTGTATTACATCCATGATGACCAGTCAATTTTTCCTTTTTGTAGATTTTTTGCGGATTTAATAGATTCCTTAACTTTTTTTGCGGATTTAATAGATTCCCTAACTAAACGAAATTAATAAATAATTCATTAACTAAACTAAGACACTAAATTCATTCTAACCTCATTTAATCACACTATTTTGAAAATAAAATCTATGTAATATAGCGTGCAAGTGTAAAGCTTTCTAAAATCATTTCGAAAAAGTTTGAAACATCCTTACAGCGAGTGAACCAAAGAAAATTCCAAATTTTATCTCATTTAACCCATGAATTTCTTTTCGTTATCTATCTATCTATCTATCTATCTATCTATCTCAGTCCGTTCATATCTATCTATCTATCTATCTATCTATCTATCTATCTATCTATCTCAGTCCGTTCATATCTATCTATCTATCTATCTATCTATCTTAACGACTTTTCTCAAACCATTTTGAAATATTTATTTTATCATAAAGTTATCAAAAGATTATTTAAATTTATGTGTTTACTCAGTTGATGCAGGAGTTAGCTAATAAAAGAACATTTAGTGCGTCAGAATTATTTGGTAATCTGTCGTGAAATGATGATATCAATCAAATCAATTAAATTTAATCGGACGAATATTCTAATAATTAATAAATAATTAAATGACACCTAGCGAATACCATTTGAATTTCATCTTTCTATCCTTATTAAAATTATAGATATTAATTTGTTTTGTGGTGTCAGAATTTCTATTCCTAAATAAATCCAAAAGATATAAGCCATAGGAAAACATTTGATTAACGCAATATCCTACAATGATTTACAAAACGTAGCTTAGATTTGGCATAAGGCTGAAAGTATTGAGCTCCCGGTAATGATCGAACTCGCCACTTAATCATAATTGATCTTGCTAGACTAGCTTGCTAATCATAACACCACGTCGAATTCTATATGCCGGAATAAATTATAATTTTACTATTTTACATGTCAATATGAACTTTTTGACATTCAAAAACTTAATCCGTCCGTTTCCCAATGATTTTGTTAAATTTGTTACGGTTTCAAACCTAACTGAGGTAGTTTCTTGCGCTTTCCAGAAATCTTCCTTGCTTAAATATGGTTTTCTATTCTCAGATAAATCTCTTTTAGTGATATATCGTAAGATTTCTGTTGGATTAATATCTGAAGATTCTGGAAGCTATTCCATTAATTTGGTGTTTTCGAAACCCTTTTTGGCAAGGTGGACAATAATTGACTTCGTAGAATATAAAAGGTCATTGTATTGCATTAATATACTTTTTAGCTTAAAGCGTCTTTGTTGAATTGCACAATTAAAAAAAATGTCTCGTTCAAGAACTTAAAAGAAATTGGTTGATTATTTCCATAAGGCCTCATTTCTAGCGCAGACAACAGGTACATCCATTGTTACTGTACATTTATCCCTAAAAATTACTGTTGCGAAATCAATTTTCTTTGCTTAGCTTACAAGTTTCTCTTTGTGGTATTTACTTAAACGTTGATTTCAAGTCTTTAGCCAATATTCTAAATATTGTTTATGTTTTCTATCTGTTTACACTTGTAACGTTCTCTTCTTCAAATAGACTTTTGTTATCCAATGTATTTTCTTGTTTATTACATTTTTATTCTTTTCTCAAATCTCTTGCGGTAATATTTTCTTCTTGTTTTTAATTTACCAACATTTTCGGTTGCTTTTTTAAATTCTTCTGTGACTTCTGTTTAACTTTTTGCAATTTCCAACGTTGTGTTCCCATGTCACGGTTGGAATGGTCGCAAAGTGATTAGTAAAATGCACGGTAGAACACGTGATCTGATGAAGAATCAAGGCCATTCAGACAACAGAATTACTGAGAACAGCTGGGATACTGAAGGAGAATTATGAAAGATTAAAATGACTTGCTATTACTTAGGCTTCAATGATAATCACCAGACACTTGGTATGAACATATAAATAGTAGAGTCGAACTAAGTGCGGAGTCTTTAGTCGAGATTAATAAAAGAAAGAGTATTTCCAAAGGAACCTCTTTTTCTCCCTTACTTTTCGTCATGACAATGATACCACGAGAATGTATTTTGCGAAATTGCAACGGAGGGTAGAACTGTGAAAAATGACAGGTAATAATCACACATCTAATGGATAGAGATGTCCTGAAAATGTTTGCAAAAATAAAAAACGTATTAGAGACTGAAATAGACAGGATCTTTACGCAAGACCTCAGAATAGAGTTAAGAATCAAGAAATTTACATTGTTGGTGATGCAATAAGGGAAACAATAAACAAAAGAAAGAACTGAACTAACAAACCAATGGAGTGCGTTATTTCAATTCTTTCAACTTCATCGAGAAATTTAACAGAAATTTGGCCTATCTAGATATACTTAAATTAGATGGAATCGTGTAGAACGAAATAAAATAAAATACTGTAAGAGCATATAGAAAAGGAACAAGGAAGATTTTTTAAACTCGTTTCTGCAGCAAAAATATGATAAAAAGAATAATTTCATCAGTAGTATCAATAATAAGATATTCGAGGCCCAACCTAAGCTGGCAGTAGTTTCTTTGTAGTTCCCATTCATTTTAAAACCTTCTCGTATCTCACATACTCTGTCTATGATATTCTAAACATTTATTTGTAGAACTGCATCTCTGTCGTTTCAAATCTTTTCTTTAGAAAGATGTCCAACATTCACTGTCATATAATTAGATTGCATGATAGTTGGACTGTTATATAAACTTTACATAATAGTCGAACTTACTTTTGTTTCTAAGAATATTTTCTATTCCTTTCACAATTTCTAAAAAGTATCTTTCAATATTCTGATAGGCCTTAGAAATTCTCTGTCACATTTTTCACTGGTTCCAGATAAGGTAAATTTTCAAGCTTGTTTGTTTTTTTACGTCTCCTATGCGTAACTCACACCATGGATTGTCGCTTTTACTGACAGCCACGCACCTTGTCTTTTTAACGTTAATGATTAGTCTTTCTCCTTGTTTTTATCATTTTCTAATAGTTACTTCAGTTCTCCCTCTAAATCTGTGTCATCTGCGTACCGTATGTTGTTGAGGCTATGTCCGATATTATTTATTATCCAGTTAGGTATTTCAAGTGTTGTTAGAAACATCTTGCTTTACCAGTTAAATGTATTCGGGCAGAAAACACATTTTGTATTCTTCTTCTTTTTAGGGGGGCGGGGGGGAGATTACGGAATATTTGAATATTTTTTCCGTGTAGGCTAAGGTTTCATTTCAATAAGTTCTTCGTATTGCACTTTATCGAATGCCTTTATATAATCTATGAAATATTTGAGGATTTCTGCTATTCGCATTTTGATAACTTTTTGCATTTCACCTCAAGCAAGCTGATAAAAGCCACTAAGATGCAAATGATTATTGAAACTGAAAGAAACCTAGAGGACAATAAAAGAACAAGATTCAAGGAGACAGGAGATGACATTGCATTTAAATTTTTGAAGACCGTAGTTGACGAGAAAGCCAGAAACCGGAAGAGAGTTTCAAAACAAGAAATACGGAAGAAGACACTATTAGCATAGATTTTACGGTTACAACGAGTAACTTCAGCAGTGAAAGTAAATGCGCTTAAATTTGTGAGATACCAATGAGGAACGCTCATCAGGACAATTACCATGAAAATATTTATAGAAAAAAACAAATGGGAGCTATGTTACGGTTGTGGGAAAGTGAGTGAAGCCCAGATCCCAGGTCAGGACCAATAACGTTGCTGAAGAAAATTGTATTTCTTGTCTTGTCCACATTATTTTTCCTTTATTTCTAGCCTACGAGCTTTAATCGTTAAAATCCTAATTATTTGTTTAGTTGTGTGGCTCATCAGACCAATTGTTCGCACCTGATTCTTTGGTAGCAATATGAAGATTGATCTAGTAATGATCTTCGGTATTTCACTGCTGTTATATATTTCGATTATCATTTCGTTAATCATATCAATCTCTAAACTATTCAAGGCTGTTAGCAACTCTGTTATCCTTTTGCCTGACCCTTCTTGTTTCTTTATCTTTATTTTGGCTAATGTTAATTAGCTACACTTAGATATTCGTATTACAGTTATTTCCTTGCTTTAATATTTTGTAGATGTTTTCCTCTTTTGTCTGTATTCATCCAATTTCTGCATTATCTTTTCTTTTTCTATTATGATTTTTCTTTCTTTAGATTTAATGCATTCTATTGATGACTGTCTCATGCTATTTCTTTTACGTTTTGTACATAACTGCTGTGTTCTGCAGTTTTTTATTATTTCTGCAACTGTTTCGTTAAATCATCCATCTTTTGTTTGTTTGTAATTATTTCTTAAGTGTTTGTTTACCTTCATATATTATGTGCCAATTTGCAGGTGTTATCTATTTTATTAGGCCGAGAATTTAATCTATCATGCACTTCATCTTTTAATGTCTTTCTTTCCTCTGTTGTCACAAATGATTTTCTTAAGCTGTTGAACTTTGATCTCTGACACCTGTTACAAAGTTTTCTTTTTCTTTTTAAGAGCAAGTAGTGGGGAAATTTAATGACCATAGAATAAAAGACAACTATAGGGAAAATGAAAACGAAATGCTGCAGAAAGAAAACTAAAGTGTGAATTGTTCGATTACGAGGGGAGTCCGTAACGTTCTTAGCACGATCGGGTTCCCTAGCACTAACCAAACATCAGAATTTTTGGAATCTCTTCTTGTTGGACCAATAATATTTTTTATATATATATATATATATATATATATATATATATATATATATATATATATATATATATATATATAATGATTACAGAATATTCAAAACAGTGTTCCAGATTGCAGAAACACAAATACTAGAGTACAGAAAAGTAGAACTGACAACAGCAACATGAAGATCAAATATAAATATGGATTTTTCTCTTGAGATTCTTTCTTATAATTGATATGTTATTTAATATAATTTAATGGATAAATATTTCCAAATTTAACTAGAAATCAAAAACAAAAAGTTTAGTGTAAAAAGACCTTTTTTTTTTCTTTAGGAAAGGACAAGAAACCTAAGCGAACATTTCAGCGTGTGTATATATATATATATATATATATATATATATATATATATATATATATATATAAGATAGATAGATAGATAGATAGATAGATAGATAGATAGATAGATAGATAGATAGATAGATAGATATTTACTGAAAGGAATTGTACCTTGCGACAACAATACAACATTTGATGCAAAAAGCTGTGACTTTAAAAATATAAGAAAGTAATTCTGTGAGAAAAGAAAACTTAAAAATATCAGGCAGCTGGTAAAGATTCTGGAAACGAAATAAAATAGCGGAAATTTAAACAAGCCAATGAATCTAATATGATTCTAACAACAGCATTCGTAACAGTCTTTAAATAGGACAAAGGAAAAAAATTAAAATATTGTATATACAGGCAAGAAAACAAATTGTAACACATTTTCAAAATTTTTACACAAAAGGCGCCTGAAGACTATAGGCGATTACATATACTAGGTTATAATATACTAGAATATATAACAGAAAATAGAGATGGTGATAATAATAATAATAATAATAATAATAATAATAATAATAATAATTTCTATTATTGTTATTATAATTATTATCGTATAAAATGGTTTATCTGAGCATAAACCACTTGCAATAGTGTAAAATAAGAGTGTAAAGTTTCTCTGGGGCTACGCCGAACAATGTGATAATTGAAGCAAGAACGTCAGACATCAACACTATCCAGAAGGAAGCGAGACAGTTTTGCATCATCGATATAACAATATCAGGGTATGTAAGAGTAGTCGAGAAAGAAAAAAGGAAAAAAAATTGTAGACATGCGATAACAACGCCCGTTGAGTGAAAGATAGGCCAAGAAAAATTACTCGGTAAAATTGGGATCGAAACTGAGATACTTTAGAAAGCAACATTACTTAGGATAGTCAGAATTCTGAGAAAGGTTTTCTCAGTGTAAATGATAGAATCTATGCTTATTTGATATGACCCGCTACTGGTCGCTAAATTACGACATAAAATCTGCTTTAAAAACTAGAATCTTACAATGCAGTTGACAAAAAAAAAAAAAAAAAAAGATGATAGATGAAGAATAAAAGAAAAACATGGCAAAAATGTAAGTTAAAGATGGCAATAAAATTTAGTATATGAACAATATTCAAATGAAAAAAGAACCATCACATGAAATGGCCTGCACATGATGCATGAAAATGATATGAAACTCGAAACGAAATCACAGCCTCAGACGAAGAGCATCAGAACAATTTATGTCAAAGCAGAAAATGATATTTCTAAAAAAAAAAAGAAAGAGGAAGAAAAAGAGAGGAGGGAGAGAGAAAGAGATAGGAGTGGGGAGAGGAAGGAAACGGTGACATTATTTGTGAAGGTGACAAACGGGCCGAAAAGCATACAAAACCTGACACGATTAGGTTTGGACACTGATTGACTATAGACGATACAAATAGCTCGGCTTTGTCCAAACAAATTGTCCGAGAAAGAAGTAGAATTTGACCTTGAGAAGAGGAAAATTAAGATAATTTGGAGTTTTGAAATCCACTCGGAACATTCTCACAAGGTAACAAGTCATAAATATTGAAAACGAACGAATATCCTGCGACAGACACAAGATTTCTGGAGTGCAAAGATTGAAATTATAAGGTAGATATCTTGAAATAATCTGATTATTTGTCAATTTTCTTCCTACAATTTTCTCATTAAAAAAAGAAGACAGTTTGCTTTATTCTTAAGCAACTCTTCTCATTATTATTATGATAAAAGTTTATTGGACTTGCTTTTTCAAGAAAATTAATTTCTTGTTACGCTTTCCCAATTTTGATTTCAATTTAACTTTTATCTAATCATACCTACTATTCCGTTCTTATCATTTTGTATGACATGTCACTTCAGAGCGTGGGCGATCATGGCTCTCGACAACTTCCTTTCCTTCGCAGCTTTATGCAACGTTGGTATCTTTACTATACTTCCTAGTCCCTGTTCTACCATCCATTTATACAATCTCGTTAGGTAAGTTACTTGTTGCTTGCCTCTTGTCCAAGCTCTTTTAACCTAACCTATCCTTCAGAAATTTCAATTGTCTCTTTCTAAATATAAGTGTTTTTTTGGTTAGCATTTCCTTAAAATTTCCTTGTTACTCACATTCACTGTCTGTATTATTCTCAGAACTTTTCTGTAGAACCACCTCTTTCAAAACTCCTATTTATCTGTGAGAAAACTGTTTAAGATTCACTGCTATATAGGACAATTGATATTACATAGCAGGTCAGTACCTTTTTGTTTGCTTCTATTTCTGAATATTTTGTTTAGCTTTTGGAAGGAATACTATTCAATGTGCCTTCGGATTTTGTGTCAAATTTTTCGTCATCTGTTAAAACGCTTCATGGATAGTTAATTTCTGTATTTTATTTTTGATTTTAAATATCTCCAATTCGTACTTTGTCTCTTTACAATTTATATTTAGTCATTTCTTTCCGCTTTTATTTACTACCTTTTGTAGGAGTTCCTGTAGTTTTATTTCTGACTCTCCCATCTGCATATCTTTTGTTGTCAAGATTATGACCGCCAATAATAAATCCTGACAAGACTTCTTAGAATCCGCTTTCTGCAAAGGTTAAATAAATACGGTGGGAATGACCCATTCTTGACTTATCTTCGTGTACTGGCTCAATTCGTTTTTCTATTAGTATTCCATTCAGTAAATGTTCTAGATTATTCTAATATATTTCCAAAATGGTTAAAGTTTTCCTAACAGTTCAAATAGATCTTTCTGTTTTCAACTTGTATGTGTCTGTAAGTGTCAAATTTTAGAAATCGTCTTCTGTTATGATATATTTCTCAGATAAGATTATTTCTAGTTCATTAACAAAACGCATTTAATGGATACATGCCAGATTGCAGACGACTTACTGATGAATCAGTAACCGTTTTAATTCAGTCTTTGCACCCGACATTAGACATTAGAACAAATCTTATTCATCGTAGCTTTTATAATGAGCTTAAAAACCTAATTATGTCCAATCAACCATGATGAGTGGGTATTTTTTTTAAACCGAAGTAGCTTGGTTTGCATTTCACCAACAGGGCTGAATGTTTGTTTCCATTATTTTCTTTTTCCATATTTAGTTATGGATTATGCCGCTTGTTCTAATACATCTTGCCAAACATTTTTTAAACAAAATCTACAATTTTGACTTAAGCACCAACAGTTTTTGTGAACACCTTTATAGCAACAAGAATATTACCATTTCTATTTCTCTTCAGAACTAATTCTTGCTGAACGTTGTTCGAATTTAAAAGAACACGGGACTTTTTTTTTTTTTTTTTAACTCGGTGACCTCATAAAATATTTCAAACAAAATTCCACCATAAATCATTCTAAAATAAATAAAGAGAAATTTGGCTTCCAGAAAACAATGCGTCAGAGAAAGACCTTGTTTATTTGCATTTAGTAGAATAGCAACGTAAGAGTTGCGATAAAAAGCGACAAAAATAAGATAAAAGAGATGCTAGCAAAAAATATGTATGTACAAAAAATCTATACAATGCTTCATCTAAGAAATTTAAAGTCTAACTGTAAGAAGAAGTTTAAGATTTTAAGAGTAAAAGATGGCGCCTGGAACCAATCAGCAACTACGAATTCTATTTCTTTTATAGGAGTTTTTTTTAAAAAATCATTATTCATTCCTTATCTTTGGTTTTCCGATTTTCCGCTTTTCCCCTCGTTAAATAAATTAGTTTAATAATATCCACATTATATGAAGATATAAATTTTGTGTATCTGTTCGTACACACACACACACAAAGACACACATGTATGTATATTGGGAAATATATCTCGGTGTTTGTGTACATTTTACGTATTATTTTCTCAAAAACCTCTACAAGTTTTTCGCTTCTTATTTTTTAGGGATCAACGAAACAGCAGAAGTGATATTAAAGCGACCCCAGAAGAATGATATAAAACCTGGATCAGACGTTATACTTCGATGTCAGATAACAGGCAATCCACCGCCTTCTATTTTGTGGTACAGAAATAAGTTCAGGTGAGCAGTTATAGTATTTCTCATTTCATAAACCTTGAATAAATTTATTTTATTTAGTTAATTTTATTATTACTCTTTTTTATCATTTGATTTGAGAAATATGTCTAGTATTTTTTAATCTTTTAAACGATGAATAAAGATACACAGGTCGTCAGTCCTTAAGTTAAGGCTTTAGATTTCTAGGTCGGTAGACAATGATTTAAATGTTTAAAATGCAGGAATTTCTACTCAAACTCGTCTACCAACTAAATATAACGTTTATATTCATAAAAAATAATAAAAATTCATTGATTGTTATGTGTGTGTGTGTGTGTGTTTACGTGTATGCGTGTTTACAAAACTCACCATCAAAACGATTACAATAACATCAATTTTGTCTTCGCAATTCACATCTGAGTATGATCTCGAAGGACTTGTGTTAACAAAAACTACGGCACCTTCCTTGGTGATTTCCAATGTAACATCAAGAAAATGATTAGAGAACAAGAAAGGATTATTATAAAAATTAAATAGACGTAATATGTCTATATTGTTTAATGAAACATGCTTGAATGAAGATATGCTACTTAAATATACATACACACATATACACACACACACACAAACACACACATATGTGTGTGTGTGTATGTGTGTGTAATTTATTATTTATTTTCCAAACTAAATTATTAAAAAAATATGTATACTTTATTAAATTATAATTTCATATCGAACAATCAAGCATTGTCATGTTGCTCGATTGTATATGACACACACACACGCGCGCGCGCGCACACACACACACACACACATTCTTGCATTTACACATGCCCATTTTACAATTATGCAAACACTTGTTATTTAAAAAAAGTCACCATGAAACGATTAGGGAACTTTTACATTAATTTACCCTCTATTGAATGATGCAGTCTATTAAAAGTGAAATCACTTTAAACTTTGTTTAATCTAAATTTATTTATCATATTATTTAATTTAAATAATGTAAATTATTTCGATTCGTTTTAAGTCTGTCATATTTTTAGGGACTGATCTATGTTGCCTGATATTTCGTCTCATGTTTTTCTTGTCTTCGAATTCTAATGTAAAATTCAAATTGTTTAATTTTTTCTATTATATTTATTTAAAATATCAATCGAAGACTTTTCAACACGGATAAAAATGACAAAATTAAGATAATGGAAGGAGATTCCCGTTTGAAACTGTCACATATAACATCATCTGAAAATGGAATGTACTCGTGTCGAGCTGAGAACATCGCCGGGGCACGTGATAGTATGGAGAATTTCCTATTAAACATTAAAGGTATGAATTGTGTAACAAGTTTAATTACTGCACGAATTATCGACCATTCTATGTTTTTGGAAATGCTTTTTTATTCATCTTTGGAACTAGCATTTTATCATTATTTTTAGTCGCATAGATGCACATCATTTTCGTGTCTTTTCTTATCACAATAAGACATAATCTTTATTTCAAACAATTAGTTAATCTCTTTTTCATCTCTTTTCTTAATACATGAGTCCTAACATATTTTATTGCTTATATTGGCTTTTAGCTTTAACCATATTAAGAACGATTTCTTGTTTAAAATCTTGAGAAATAATTGTTAAAAATAACCCTTCTGCAGAAAAATTGAAACATTCTTAACTTTTCAATATTTTAATGGACATTTGAAAGTATTTTCCTCCTGCAGAATATCTATATTCAAATATTAAAGGTCAGTTTTTCCGGCTAAATCAAACCCAGTAAGTGAAACAAGTTATTGTAGGGTCATTAAAATATTTAAAGCAAACGTTGAATTCTCGTATAGTCCAGGTCACTTAGTCAGTTAGTTAAGTGGCATACGTGATACACGCTTGGGCGATCATATCTCTTTGGATTCATGATTGACTGATTTCCTGCAGTAGGCTGCCGTTTCTTGGTTGCCGACTAATGCTCTAGGATCCAGTCTGGCCTTTTATTTAACCCATAGCCGCGAGGGGAGAAGAAAAGATTCATTCATATTTTACTTGTCTGTCAGTGAATATAACAAACTTAAATGAAATTCGAATTTTAATTCGAATGTTTATTATTTTATCTTTGGAAAATGAAAAAATATTCAAATTTATTATTTTTATTTAGTTGGATAACAAATATTTATCTATCAAGTAGTTGTATATAGAAAGTAGAGTCCTGTAGAATTAGCAAATAATACATCATGTAGCCTATACGGTAGATGTTAATTGCTTGCCCTGATGTTTGAAAGAAATACCTATATACATATATGTATATCAATGCAAAATGAAATTTCCTTCTTCGTTAAGTGAAAGACCATCCAAAATAGAAAATGACAAAATAAAAATAAAAAGAATAGAATTTGGAATGGAAGTGGAAATGAAAGATGAAAGGAAAATAAAGCATTGGATTTAATGGCGGAAAACATCAAAAATAAAAAGAGAAAACAAGAAAGACACAGAAAAGTATAAGTGAGGGAAACCATTGCAAAAAGTGCATCTATCTCTACGGAAATGACTCTGGGTCGACTCATCAATAGTAAACATAGTTTCGTTAATGCCACTGAGACGTGGAATAATAAGGGAAACCTACGAATAAAGCACAACGTATGAGTTTCCTTTGTTTTATTGAAATGCCAGAATGGTAAAAAGTCACTTTGACGTCAAAAAATCTTGCATTGTGCCAAATGTATTAATTTATAATATGATACACTTTATTAATTTGCTTGATAGAGTCGCGGCTCTACAGAATAAAACGAACAATGCTATCGGGTCAGTAACACATACGCACATACACATCTATGGATGTGCGTATGTGTTTAAAACTTGCAAACCATTCGACATTTGATTCTCTTGGGGTGCTCTGCTGTTGTAGTCTTAAGCTTTGCAAATTATACGCTAAGGTTCTATCTATCTATCTATCTATCTATCTATCTATCTATCTATCTATCTATCTATCTATATGTGTCAGAAAAATTAGTCGATGGATACAATTATTCACATAAATTTGTAATCAAATTGTTTTATTTGTTAAGAATTAGAAGTGAATCTTTATTGAACACGTATAGCAGCTTTTTTCAAAATTTTCACCCTTATTTTGTGCCTTTTAAATTTGTCTTTTCTCTTAATAAATATGTTATACTATTAAGAATGCTCGAGTAAATTATCGTTGTTTGAACAAATGTATTTCTTAGTCAACAATTTCTTTATTTTAATTTGTATTATTTTATCTCTAATACATACATACACACATACATACAAATAGACAGACTGACATAGAATTAGTGTTCATTTTCTGGTCTATTGTTTTGTTAATTCAAAAAACCAACTTATCCATCAGTCATTCGCTTCATATCCTTTACTCATTTTCAATTATTTTTCTATCGCTTCAAGGTATTTCCGGCATTTTTTCTCAAATTAGCCTCTTTATTTTCCTTTTTTTTTTTACAAGAAAACCTCCATCTGTCTTCACATGATTGATGATATCATTAAGAGAAAAACAGTTAAAAGCATTCCACTTACATTTACCTTGTTTTTGTCTTATCAAACTCATTGAAGGATATATTTCATTGAAAGATACGTTTTCTCTAAATATTTACGTTTTTCTTGGTGAAAAATGTGATAAAAGGGACAAATAAATCTTACTACTCTTGTTTAATATTTCTAATGTTTTGTGTTACTTTCGTATTTAAATGCTGCAGGGGCTACAAATATATTCTTTTGTGATCGTGTCTTTATACGAAGAATTCATTATAAACTAACAATATAAGAGCTAAATAATAGAAACTATATATACTTGTAATGTTTTAATGAAGTAATGAAGTGTGTCTACTATAACATTTCATCGAATATATGTTGAAAAGTTCTCGCCTCATATAATTTTACATTCACTAAAAAGAAACGTACCATCTGCTTTTCCGGGACTTGTTTTGGATTAAAACATTAAAAGTGCTTCAGAAAGATTTTATAATTTATAAACGGCCAAGCTTTTATAAAATGTTAAAAAATAATTAAATTTATAATGGCTTACATTACTTTATAAATATTTAAAATTATTATTATTATTATTGGTTTTGCTCTAGAGCCTTTTGATCAACTTCAAAAATATGTGTGCATCCATAAATCGTGTTTCCAAATTTTTGCAGAACCCGGTGCTCCTTATCTGATTGAGGAGAAATTTACCCCTTATCTGCTGATCAAAAAAGGGCATCCAGCTCGTCTGGATTGTTTCATGGTAAATGCAACCCGTATTGAGTGGTTTTCAAACTACGAAAAAATATCAAACAGCTCTCGGTGAGTACAGTTATGAATCATTTATTTTAAAAATACCTGTTCAAAAGAGCCACATGGAATATATTTGAATTAATCTTATTTTGATTCTTTACACAGCATTTTAATTCACTGTATTTATGTTGATTATATTTGTAACTTAATTTTATCGAACGATTTATAAAGGTTAGGTTTTATAAAATGCGATTCTAAAAAATTAGAAAATTAAACAAATGGGATTGTAAATAAGCTACAAAGCAAAAATATTCTGTTAGTCAAAGGATAAGTTAATTTTTGTAATATTAAAATTTCATTCGCTGATTAAACTCATTATGATTGATAAGCTCATTTCGAATACACGATTCAAAAAGTGTATACGAAAATGTGTATGATTTAAGTTGAAGTGATGAGAGGTTAAATCAATACAATATTAGCAAAACACTTTTTGACATTGGCTAACAGTTGTGAAGAAAATTTTAAAAAATGGTTGTTTCTTGAAACCTTTTATGTTTACAATTGGCAATGTGGAGATCTTCGACGTAGTGTGATAGCAAGCTTGTCTTGCTAAATCAATTATAACTGAATAGTGAGTTCGATCCTCACCGGGTGCTTCATACTTTCGGCCATGTGCCACATTTAAGTTACACTTAGTAAATTGCTCTAACTGGACAGGTTTTACTCTTGGGAGGATTTGCGTTCTTTTTAATGTTTGAAAAATGGTAATAATTTTAAATATTTATTGCTTAGTTGTTTCGCTCAATTATCAAATACACACTCTCTGTCGGTGACTACTAGAATCTCTCCCTTTATAGTGGAAATAATGATCTATTTTCTTCTCTAAATCAACAAACAGGTCTGTTGAGAAATAATTAAGCACAAAATCTACCATTTTGCAGGTTGATTTAGTAATTACTTCATAAAGATTCCCTATTCCCAATGATTTTGAGAGACTACTAAAAAGTATTTTTCCGAGAAAATTCATTAGCTGGGTGTTGTTTACTAAAGAAAAAAAGTAACGCTACGAAGGCAAACCTTTAAACTAAATTGTCTTGATTGCTTTCAATGTCCCTAAAATTGTCATTTTATAAATTCAACAAATATCTTTTAATGGAATAAATAATCTATTAAATGAAGAGTCTATTCTAAGCACAAAAGAAGCACACTTCTTCAAAGAATAGCTTTCATTCTTCGCAGCAATTCTTAAAGAAATAACGAACAGAAAATGATTAAAATAATTTGTGTCCATCTGACCATCTTTTCTCAATACTAAAATCTGACCATCTTTTCTCAATACTAAAATCTGACCATCTTTTCTCAATACTAAAATCTGACCATCTTTTCTCAATACTAAAATCTGAACATCTTTTCACAATATTAAAATCTCACCATCTTTTCACAATATTAAAATCTGACCATCTTTTCTCAATGCTAAAAATATTTGTTACCACGGGGGTGATAAATCAAATTGGTCTTTTTTATATGACCTCGCCTAAATAAATTCTTCTTGTTTCAATTTCTGTCTTTGATGTTAGAAGTCTATTATATGACACACTCTCCAATGCAGGCATATTTGTTTCCTAACTCCCATCTTATTTTAAACTTGAAAACATTTAAATCTCAAATTAT